TCTATGTCTCTGAAATAAAAAAAGGGGGTGAGGGCTGGCATTAAAGGGAATAGTTGGTCTGGCTGACCAGGAGAGGTCCTCTGTTCCCCTGTTTGTGAACAGAAGATCTCGCTTCTTTAGCGGCTGACTGATAATCTTCACCAGCATAGTTTAAGTTTAGTTTATCACCCAGTGTGAGTCTGAGATGTTTAAAGGCGTCCACCATTTTCACTTTTTTTATAATAATATGCTGTGGAGTTAAGGAAAGTTAACAATTACATCCTTTGTTTTGCAGGCCATAAGATGAAGATGGTTGTTCTTGCGCCGCAGTAGGGGCTCTTTGAATGGGATGTGATCATACTGGTAAGCAGTGTAATAGCTGTGTCATTAGAGTAGCCGCTGGGGGAGACTCACTTGTGAACAGTAGGTACGTAAAGGGGCTTAGCATACAGCTTTGATTATGAGTACATATGTCAGTTTAGTGTGCAGAATTAAACAAGAGGTGATGTTTGTAGCTAAATATTTTTGGCCAATATTCTTTTTCTTATGTCTGCTTCTGTCTCCTTGAAGACTGAGCCTGGTTCTGCTGGAGGTTTTTTTTCCTGTTAAAAGGGAGTTTTTCCTCTCCACTGTCTCTATAAGCATGCTTAGTGTGAGGGATTGCTGAAGAGTCAATGAGTCGATGCAATCAGCTGGTTTTCCTTAGATAGAAAACATAGAACCAATCTGACTGGATGATCTGGTGAACTGGAAAGTGACCAGAGATGACATGATGTGAATTGGAGCTATAGAAATAAACTGAATAGAACTGAATTGAATTGAGCTACATCTTTTTGAAAGACAGTCAAAAAATACTGGAAAAAAATTACAATTTTTCTAGATGAATATATCATCCTGCTGACCAAGTATTTCAAGATTCCCTTTTTTTTTAGAGTAATTTATGTCAATACACCCTTTGCATTTGAACTCTTTCGAACAGTCATTTGTTTTCTCATTTCCTTTTTGACCTCCAGTCGGTAGCTATTCTGGACTGATTTGTTTTACTGTCAATCTTCTGTCACTTCTGATTTGTTGTGGAAGAGCTCATAAACAGAGTTTCTTTGCCCTTGCTCATTCCTTCAAATGTCAAGATTCACACAACACCCGACCAAACAGCCACTTTTCCTTCAACATATCACACCATGGTCACAG